ATTTTACCTTTATTCTACACCGCTGTTTCCATTCTCGTCAAAGCGGTCTGTTGAGTTCCTAGTTCTATGAAGCCCCTCCCTCAGAAATACGCAATGTGCTCTGATTGGTTAGCGGGCTCAGTGTGTTTGTGATTTGCTAACCGCCGAGTGCACGTTGTCCAGAATTGTCACGCCCCCTTACCATTACGGGTATTTGCATGTTCCCGGGGGTGGGGTTTATGTAAACATCAGGGTTAGTGATGTCACAAACCCAGGAAGAAGCTCGTTGTAGTCCCTACCAGACGTTTTTTGTAGTCTTTAAACAGCGATTTCTTTAAAAGAAAATATCTACCTTTGCATTGAACTCTGAGCATCGTAACTTTGCAGACGTTGTTTACGCTCTAACAGCAACAACACACACTAACTAAAGTTCAAAAAGTGAAATCATAATCAACCACCCCTTTAAGATATTAAGTCTTGTTTTCAAAAAAAAAAAAAAAAAAAAAGAGAACAAGACTTCACATCTAAAGTCAATTTGTACGGTGGCCGAGAAGTGCTAAACAAATCACAATTCTGAAAACAAAATAACAAATTACAAACGCAAATGCAAGTCTAAAAAACAAAATAACAATTCAGAAAGCACAACAACAATTCAGAAAACATTATAACATGTCAGAAAACACAATGACAAATTCGAAAACAAATTAACAAGTCAGAAAACACAACGACAAATCAGACAAACTGGAAGAGGTAGGTATAGTTTGAGACAGCGCCATTGGTTTGGGATTACTCACCGCTGACTGGACGAGACATCTGTCAATCAACGTATACAGGGAAGAACCAGCCGAAGAACAGCAGAGTCGTGGTAGAAAGTTCGGAGATGGTATTAAAGTAGCTCAGTTTAAATGTATTGTATGAATTGCCCTTACTATGGAATAAAAAATACAGAGTGTATATTTACATTTACTTAAAAGTGGCTGTAAATCATCAGCTCCAGTGGAGCAGATGGATAAGCGCGTGTCGTTGGCTTTTTGACACGATCGACCAGGGTTCGATCCCGCCTTTTGCCAAACTTTTCTACCTACCTCTTCCGGTTTGTCTGATTTGTCGTTGTGTTTTCTGACTTGTTATAATGTTTTCTGAATTGTTGTTGTGCTTTCTGAATTGTTATTTTGTTTTTTAGACTTGCATTTGCGTTTGTAATTTGTTATTTTGTTTTCAGAATTGTGATTTGTTTTGCACTTCTCTTCCACCGTAATTTTGCTTCTCAAGTAAATGTATCTTGATTTAGGAACGTTTAGATATTTGTACTGGAAAACAAGACACAAATACTGAGGAGGAAAATGTTCAAGGGAATCAAACCCATATTTCCTGGGAATTCAAGCCCATGATTTTGTCGTTGCTAGCACCATGATTGTGTAAACAATTTAACTGACCCCTCTAAAACTAGCAAATCTGACTAGTGGAGACCAGTTCCATGGAGAGTCAAAACCAGCAAACCACCTCAGGCTGATTTAATCTGTTTTTCAGAAATTAACAACAAAAATGAGGCCATATTCATTATGCTAATGCGCATAAACTAGAACTACAATCTTGCCTCTGGTGTCTTTATTAAACTTTGAATTTTTTTGATTTATCTCTTAATAAAAACACATGCTCCTCATGAAGGTGTGGCCACACAACTTCAGCTCATTTCAACATGCATAGCTTCTCACGGGAGCTCTCAGTGCTCGATCGAAAAAATCATGAAAACAAAGAGTTTTATTTTCAGTCCACTCACGTCGGGAATGTCCCAAATGAAGAAGACGAGCTCCGCGCCATGAACGGTGCAGTTGACGTTCAGCGTCTCGCCCTGTTTCAGGACCGTTTTGGAGGCGTTGATGTAGGGATTCAGAGCCTCGGGAGCTGAAGCCATGTGTGTGAAAGAAAGAACAAAAACAGCTATTGGTTGATATAAAACAAATCATCTGATGTGTTTATGAGAGACTCGGTCCGGTTAATGATGACATATTGCAACACATGGACTCTCTCTATGATTTAACCATCTTACAAACACAAATGAAAAGAAAATGGTTTTAACACAAAACATCAAATAATTGCCTGTAATGTTGATACATGAATGGTAAATACAGTCATAAATATCTGTAATATTAAAGCATTAGCAGATATATAGGACAAATATGAAAATCATTTCTCCTACACTGCAAAAATATCAGTGGTGGACAGTAACAAAGTAGTTTTACTTTGTTACTGTACTTAAGTACATTTTTCAAGTATCTGTACTTTACTGGAGTAGTTTTATTTTGAGCAACTTTTACTTTTACTTCACTAGATTCCAAAGCATAAGATCGTACTTTTTACTTCACTACATTTCATAAAACTTATCGTTACTCCTTATAATATATCACGTGCTCCGAGACGCAGAAGCATGTCTGATTCATGAACGAACTGATTATTTTAAATGAACCCATTAAATCGGTTCGCAAATCGCACCAAACGATTCATTGACGGATTGGAATGATCCGATTGCAGCTGTTCTCGAGTCGACATCTCACTGATTCAAATGAACCGTTTAGTGCGAGTAGAGATCTTGTGAGCGCGCGCGCGTCTGATGCTGTTAAAAGTAAGTTACTACTAATGTCGAATTTTAGAATTAATTGACCCATTAAATCGGTTCGCAAATCGCACCAAACGATTCATTGACGGATTGGAATGATCCGATTGCAGCTGTTCTCGAGTCGACATCTCACTGATTCAAATGAACCGTTTAGTGCGAGTAGAGATCTTGTGAGCGCGCGCGCGTCTGATGCTGTTAAAAGTAAGTTACTACTAATGTCGAATTTTAGAATTAATTGTTGTAACTGAAAATCACATTTAGGTCAAAGCTGTCAGTTGTTTGTGAACTAAATCTGCTGTAAAGGGTGATCTGTTTAAGCCCACTGAAATGCTTGAATGCAGACATATTAACATCAGAGTCTCTATGTTTTAGGTCAAAAAACATTAAAATAACACAGATTAAATAAAAGAACTCATGCACTTTCATCTTCCCCGCTGCTGTAACATTAGCAGTTTTATTAAAATGCCATGCATTTAGCCCTATGTGACGTCTGTTTTTATATTGTTTGTCAGCACACATAGCCTAAGTTACTATGTATCTGGATCAACTAGCCGAGTAGACAAATGTTTATTCATAACCATGCTGAAAATAAGTCAATGTTAGCTGATGCTAACTGTCTAGCTAACGAGCTTGCTGGTGCTAAATTGAGGTATTTTTTTTTTAAATAAAGTCCAAATATTTTTATTCAACCACCTAGATAGATTACATTTAAGGGAAAAATAAAGGATGTGATGTTCAGAACATGGTAACTACAGTAATTTTCAAAGTGGGGAGTGATGCCCTCTGGGAGCATTTGGCCAGGGGTGTTTTTACACCACAGACAAGGTTTGAGAAGAAAAAAATCATTATGAAAATCTAATTATATTTTAATCCGTGTATCATTCGATCATTCGTTTTTTTATTTAATTTTGAAAGTAGAAAAATTAGAAAACGGCTCCTTTTTAGTATTTTCGTTTTTTTTCCAAAACATGAAAACCGAGAATTCATCTTACATTTTCGTTTTTCGTTCTTGGGTGGAAAAATGAATAAACAGCTTGAATATTTGATTTCTACACGTGGGCGGTAATTAAACGCACCTTTCTGCTGATTGGTCAGCTGAAGATCAAATTGTGCCATCATCAGTTCTTCTGCAGTATCACGCAGCAGAATAATAGTCCTCAGCTGCTGCAGTTGTATGGATTCTTAACGCATTCATTGCAACTAAATTTAGTCTTTTTTCATCAAACAAACAGTCAAATGAATAGCTCGACACAACTCGTACCGGGGCAGAGTCTAGACAGGGCTTACTTCTGTGTAGATATAAATTATATTCTTTGCATCAGCTGGGCATGGCAGGGTATGATATGACCTACCCTGTACACCCAGTAAGTCTGTTTGTTTGTTTAATTAATTAATTAATTGATTCGTTTCAAAATAAATATTTTAAACACTAAGACAAAAAGGAAAGAATAATAAATTGGCTTGGGTATATAGGCCTATGTTCACGCAAGAACTGTCATTCTGACTGACAACCGGAGAACAACAGATATTAAATAGCCTACTGTTAGAGTTATATAATGTAGTCTTGTGTTTTATTAAAATTTATTATAATTGATATCTCAAAAGGATATGCACTTGTGCGCGGCGTGAGCTACTGCGCACTCGCACTGCAACGCAAGATTTTCATAAAATATAATAACTTGCCATTTCAGTTTGTTTCTCACCAAACCCTCAGAATACATTCAGAATGCACAGGAAATAAGCAGCAGTCATATTTAAAGCAGTTTAAATTAATATTGAGTACTGATTGATGTTCACTTGGATTTTTTCCCCATCGAGGGGAAATAACTTAATACCCTGTCATTTATAGTCGTATGGTAAAATTAATATTTTTAATTGTGTAACGTTACGTTCAAAATAACTACAAAATGTCATGCCTTTGAAAAATAAAGAGAACAACAGAATGCGCTGCTTTAGAGCTTCTCGGTCTCCTTGAGCATCTTTCTGGCGCATGCCACAAACATGAATCACAGCAAATACTTGTCTTTTAAAAGGCTTCATTTAGATGATTTGACGTTAAATGCATCATATAAGTCACTTTGGAATAAATCACAGTAGGCCTATGTATCATGATAAAAAAAGCGACTTTACAGTCTGGAAATACTTTAGGCTAGCAGATTATTTTGCGGAACCCCTATCACTTTAAGAACCGCTGGTCTACACAGAAGAAAGTCCTGTCTAGACTCTGCCCCGCAATGAGTTGTGTCGAGCTATTCATTAGTCTGTTTAATGAGAAAAATATGAAATTGATAAAATGGGTTATTAATCCATACAACTGCAGCAGCTGAGGACTATTATTCTGCTGCGTGATACTGCAGAAGAACTGATGAAGGCACGGTTTGATCTTCGGCTGACCAATCAGCAGAAAGGGGTGTTTAATTCCCGCCCACGTGTAGAAATCGAATATTCAAGCTGTTTATTAATTTTTCCACCCATGAACGAAAAACAAAAATTTAAGCTGAATTCTCGTTTTTCGTTTTTTGGAAAAAAAACAAAAAAACGAAAAAGGAGCCGTTTTCTCATTTTTCTACTTTCAATATTAAATAAAAAAAAACGAATGATCGACTGATACACGGATTTATGTTCCTTATTATATTCATTATTTCCTTATTGGTTATTTGGGGAAAATCCCAGGGATTTTGAGCAGTAGGATTATAAAAAAATATATGCTAATATAAAATTAAATGATAAAAGTAGCCTATATAAAACTGCAAAATAAACATTCATCAATCGGTACTTTTTATTTAAGTACATAAAAAATCAAGTACTTTTGTACTTTCACTCGAGTAAAATTGAAAACTGAGTACTTTTACTGGAGTAATATTTTATTATACGGATCTGTACTTTTACTCAAGTACTTCATTTGTGTACTTCGTACTCCGTACTTAAGACAAGAACAAATATCTGCCAATGGGGTCAGAAAAAAATTAACTTCATGAAAAAACAAAATTATTTTTCTTACCCTATTGACAGATAATTGTCTTGTTTTAAGCTAAAAAATTATATTATTTAAAAAACATTTTTTTTTAGAAAACAGGAATTAGTATCTTAATCTGTCAGTGGGTTCAGAAAAAAATGCATTGTTTCCCCTTGAAATTTGTTTATTTTTCTTGTTTTAAGCAAAATAAATAAATAAATCACTTAAAGGGATAGTTTACCCCAAAATTAATATTACCCCATGATTTGCTCACCCTCAAGCCATCCTAGGTGTATATGACTTTCTTATACAATCTGAGTAATAGAAAAAATGTCCTGGCTATTCCAAGTTTTATAATGATTTTGATTTTGAAGCCCAAAAAAGTGCATCCATTCATCATATAAAGTGCTCCACATGGCTCCGGGGGGGTTAATAAAGGCCTTCTGAAGCGAAGCGATGCGTTTGTGTAAGAAAAATATCCATATTTAAAACGTTCACGTTCACAACAGAGTGGCATTCCAGCTTATGACATTGGACGTAGGTGTAGTGTAAGCTCTGGAGAGAATATGCTAGTCTCGCGAGAACCAAGTTTTGTTTACTACAAAATACCATGTTATGATATAAAAATACCATGAAAGATATAACACCAACATGTCAGAAAAAAGTTTTTTTTAAAAACCAAACAAACAGAATCACTGAGTTGGAAAAAGGATCAGCCCCTTGTGTCAGTATTTAGTTGAAGCACATTTTGCTTTAATTACAGCCTTTAGTCTGTTGGGATTTGTCTCTACTAACTTTGCACATCTAGACTTTGCAATATTTGCCCACTCTTCTTTGCAGAACTGCTCAAGTTCAGTTCAATTTGATGGTGACTGTTTGTGGACTGCAGTCTTCAAGTCATTCCACAGATTTTCAGTGGGGTTTAAGTCTGGGCTCTGACTAGGCCATGCAAGGATATTCACCTTTTTCGCCTTCAACCACTGTGTGCTTTGGGTCATTGTCATGTCGGAAGGTAAACCTTCTTCCCACTGACAACTTTCTGGCAGCGTGCAGCAGATTTTCCTCAAGAATTTGACGGTATTTTGCGCCATCCATTTTTCCTTCTATCCTGACAAGCGCTCCAGTCCCTGCTGCAGAGAAACTCCCCCATAACAGGATATTACCACCTACATGCTTTACTGTAGGAATGCTGTTATTTGGATGCTGAACTGTATTGGATTTCCGCCAGACAAATCGTTTGGTGTTGAGGCCAAATAATTACATTTTAGACTCAGAATCTTCAAGGTGTGTTTTGGCAAAGCTCAGTTGTTACTGCATGTGGCCTTTCTTGAGGAGTGGCTTTTTTCTTGCAACCCTCCCATACAAGCCACATTAATGGAGAATTTGTGATATTGTTATCACATGCACACAAGGACCACTCTTTGTCATAAATTCCTGCAGCTGCTTCAGAGTTGCTGTAGGCCTCTTGGTCACCTCTCTGACCAGTTTCCTCCTGGCTCTTTCATCCAGTTTGGAGTGACGTCCTGATCCAGGGAGGGTCTGTGTTGTACAAAATACCTTCCACTTCTTAATAATAGACTTCACTGTGCGTCTAGGCATTGATAAAGCCTTTGACATTTTTCTTGTATCCATCTCCTGACTTGTGCCTGTCCACAACTACTGAGGACTGAAATGCTCCAAATGCAAAAGTCCAAATTGTGAGATAAAAAGGTCACAATTACCGTTTTTACTTTTTTATTCTGTGAAGGAAACAAGCTTGCATAGTAACCAAAGGCCATGCATGCCGGAATTTTTGTTGATCGCATCAGCTACCATGGGGGCACCATCATCCAACCCCCACCCACTGGAGAACAATTTTAATCCAATTGAATTTCTGCATAGGGGACCCTATTTATTTCTATTGTACATTATATAAAATAATGACATAAAATTTTAGACAGTATGTTGCCAAGAATGAATACATTCAGCACTTAAAAATGTAAAATGGGTTTCAGATGAAGGTAACTAAATTACAAAAAACAATGGATTTTTATATTGTCTATATGCAGATAGAATTGAAACATGACAAGAAATGCAGTTTTTGTAAAGCCATCAACTGTTAGTATTTTGACAGTCACTGTGCTATGATTGACTATGTCCCTGATGGATAGAAAAGTAGTGCTAACGTTTTGACCAAATGACAAATCGGGTTTGATGTGTTTTGATTGAGTTAGTATATGTTGGAAAAGGTATTCAGCATTTTGAAATGAAGAGTTTGTATTTATTTAACAAAATGTGGTTTTGGCCAGTAAATTAACTATTTGGCTAATTGTGAGATGTAGGTGTGTTGCTGTGTTAAGAGTTTAGAGTTTAGAAAAAGTACTTTAAGTATTGGTAAACACTTGTTAGCAATTGAAAAAAAAACATTTAAATAAAGCACGATTGGAAATTCCAGTAAGTCTACTGAGCAATAAAAGAGCAACATTTGAGCAAAAAAGACCCTTCTAATCTTATAAAAAGAGCAAATATAAATAAAAGGATCAAAATGCAAAGGTACCAAATATACTGAAGACGTAGAAGGGGATGGACTCTTTCTCCTCTCCGTTCAGCTCTCCTTTGCATTTGTAGGTTCTGTCCTCCAGGGTGGCGGTGTAGCCCATGCTGGGGTTGTACGAACCCTCCACCATTATCTCTGAGTCTTTCTCGTACAGCGTGACGTTTATTGAGGGATCCGTTACCAGACATGGGATCGTGCCTTCCTCTCGCGTCTTAGTCACCATGACATGATCGTTCTCGAGGAACCACACCTCAGGATCTGAGGAGAACAGAATCAGTGAATAAGTGTGTGTGTGAATTAATCAATAAGTGAATGATTACATGAGCAAATGAACAACTGAATCAATGTAGGAATCAAATGAATGGATGCAAATAATTCAATGACTGAACAAATAATTCAAGGTGTTAATACATGAATGAATGCATGAGAGAGTGAATGAATGAATGAAAAATCAATAAATGAATAAATGTTTGACAATACTGAAAGAATAAATGCATGAGTGGATGAACGAAATAATGTGAGAATCAATAAATTAATGAATGTGTGAGTAAATAAATGACTGCATATGTGAATGAATCAATTAATGTAGGAATCAAGAAATAAACAAGAAAGTAATGTGAGAATTAATGAATTAATGTGTGAGAAAATGTATAAATAAATGTTTCAATGTGAGAATCAATAAATGAATGAATGTGTCAGTGAATAAATGAACAAAACCCAGTGTGAGAATATTCAAATGAATGAATGCATGAGGGAATAAACGAACAAATCAATGTGAGAATCAACAAATTAATTAATGCATTAGTGAATGAACAGATAAATCACTGTGAGAATTAAATAAATAAATGCATAAATGCATGAACAAAAAAAATCTATATGAGAAATAATAAATGAATGAATGCATAAATTAATTAAATCAGTGTGAGAATTGCCAAATGAATGAATGCACAAATAATGTTAGAATCAATAAAGGAATGAATGTATGAGTGAATGAACAAAATAATCAATGCGAAGACCAATAATTGAATGCACAAGTGAATGAAAGAACAAATGAATGATTATGGAAGTGAGAAAATGGATCAAATTAAATTAAATCAATCAATGGATCAATGGAAAAATCATAAAATACATAAAATGTTCAAATATACAATATCTGTTGATTTACATGCACTTTTGAAAACTCTACCTACTAGTAGTCACTTAATTAAGCAATTTATAAATGTAATAGTTTTGAATATTTTCATGAATTCTTACCAGGCACAAACACAGCCACCTCTCTGGTCTCGTTTGTCTGGTTCTCTAAACACACATAGACGCCCGTGTGTCTCCAAGTCACCTGCTCCAGACTGAGAACGCTGGAGGAGGGACTTCGCTTCTCGGTGTGGAACTCCGGAACTTTCTCCTCCCGCTTGAAGCGCCAGGTGACATTACTCCAGCCAGAGCAGGTGATGCTGAAGGAGGAGTTGATGGAGAGGACGACCTGAGTGACGCTGGGATTGAGCTCCAGACCTGAACTACCCAGACAGAGCAGGAGCAAACCTGCCCAAAAACCAGCACTGAGATTAATACCACTTCACTCAATCAATACTGCTCTACAATAACTCAAGACGTGCAAAAATAATTTGGGGAAAACAAATTTCAGGGTTCCTCCCTGAGAATTTTGGGAAGAACATTTTACTGTAAGTTTTAGAGCTTTTAAAATCGCATTCTCGTATATTTTTAAGTTATTTAAGATGAGACACTAGTTTTTTGCATGCATTGTTCAATTTCACGATTTTGGGCTATTTTGCTTCTATAACATGTCTTCATTCAAAATAGTGGAAAGAAAACATTCAAAATACACATTTAAGTGTTTATTTTACTACATTTTATCTATATGCATCTGTAGATTTCAATTACAATAATCTAATTTCTGTCATGGTAATGTACATGACAATGTTAATGTATTTGGTCTTGGCAGAATAGATCTGCTACGCTGCTGCTGCTGCTGCTGCGGCAGAGCAAGTACCGAGACTTGCTACTGCCAATATATTCACAACATGCTGCTGTGAGCATGTAAGAAATATTGCTGCTGCAAATATAACATACATGAAATAACCCCCATATAGCATACATGAATCATCTCGTAGCAGATCTATACAGGTGGAGCTGGGGAAGGTGGAGGGTTTCTAAAGTAAGCTGCAACTGCTACGGCACGCACTAGTCATATATTTGAATGTTGAGCAGCAAGCTCATTGGCTGCCGATACAGGAGAGAACCAATCAGCTGTGCCATGTGATAATGATGTCATTAGGTCAGATTGAGTTAGACCTATCGGACTGCGCCGTCAAGAGTTTCATGCCAGAAACTTACCTTAAAAATTTTAAGGTAAGTTTTAAGGCAAGACACTACAGGCAAAACTGGCACTGGTTAATTTTTAACTATTTTGCTTCTATAACATCTTGTTTTAATATAGTGGAAAGGAACATCCAAAATACACATGTAAGTTTTTGTTTTATTTCACTTTATTGCATCTGGCTCAGTTTGTTTTTAATAACCGAATGTGTGAAATAAGTAATAAAAGAAAGTCTTTTGAGTTACATTAAACAAGTCAAGTGCAGAATATACTGAGCTTTAGGTTTGAGTTTATTTGGTTAGTTTTTGATTGTAACATTATTTAGAGGTTTGTTTAGTCTGTTACCTGTTGTCATGGCAGTCAGTTGGGACAGGCTAAAACTCTTCATGCTGCCTTCCAGAGCAGGACACGTTTAGACTCTACAGACGGAGGGAAAACAACTCAGGATTGATTCACCTCAAAGCCAAAAGAAACAGCAATCTTACCAAATTTACCTCAACATTTATTTTTACAAAAGAGAAAATTCACTCAGTGTGACTTCTAGTGAAGACCTTTTAAAAGCTCATGCACACAAAAGAATATACAAAGAGTTCATGACTGTATTTCCATGAAAGGATCTTTAACTTTCTTCTGCATTCAGATGACTGGATGTGCCTCCTGTGTGTCCAGCGCTGTGGAATAACACACGGGTTGTTTCTCACACAGGCTTCAGAGAGGGACATACATGCCTGACTGCACACAAACAGTAGCATGTTTCACAAACGCTGTGATTGTTGCATTTTTCACTGCAGCACATTCACTGGCATCTACTCACGGTCACGGTGAGCATCCCAACAAAACAACAGCATAAAAAAACATAAATACAAAAAAAAATAATAATAAAATTTTAAAAACAGCACACTTCTCCTCCACAAGATACGTGATTTGAGGAATCAGTGTTGCGGGACAATGCACAAACTCAACATTAATAGTGTTAGAGGAACAAAACTAAAAAAAAAAGCTTTTTCGTTACTTCAATTAAATAAACATTAACTGAAATAACATAAAAAACTACAACTTTTATTGTAGCTATTTGTCAAGGAAATATTTCTCATCTTTGATTGGTTTAATTTGTAAGTACTAAAGTAAGTAACTTTTAAGTAATAAAATAACTAAAATTAAATAAACTAATAAATACAAAATAATAAAAACTATATGGACATTTAAAAATAACAAAAACTGAACAAAATTACTAAAACTTTAACTAAAATTAAAGTGAAAACTAAAAATAATATCCAATTCAAAATATATCAATAATAATAATATATAAAATAGTATATCAATGACACTAAAACAACGCTGGTTAGTGTTAATACTTAGAGGTTTGATCACATTATTATCTGCACTAGTACTAGTAAGGATTGACTTACACAACTAATAAAGATGTCTGAAAAACTAGATAAAGTTTGCTTCTAAATCTGCATATAAACATTAAAGTTTACAGGATCTGTCTAATTATGAGATATCTGATCCCTTTCAAGGTGTTCTAGAGATCATTTACAGAGGACAGAGGTCACAAAAGACCAAATCCTCCAGGCGGACTGCGCCGTCAAGAGTTTCATGCCAGAAACTTACCTTAAAAATTTTAAGGTAAGTTTTAAGGCAAGACACTACAGGCAAAACTGGCACTGGTTAATTTTTAACTATTTTGCTTCTATAACATCTTGTTTTAATATAGTGGAAAGGAACATCCAAAATACACATGTAAGTTTTTGTTTTATTTCACTTTATTGCATCTGGCTCAGTTTGTTTTTAATAACCGAATGTGTGAAATAAGTAATAAAAGAAAGTCTTTTGAGTTACATTAAACAAGTCAAGTGCAGAATATACTGAGCTTTAGGTTTGAGTTTATTTGGTTAGTTTTTGATTGTAACATTATTTAGAGGTTTGTTTAGTCTGTTACCTGTTGTCATGGCAGTCAGTTGGGACAGGCTGAAACTCTTCATGCTGCCTTCCAGAGCAGGACACGTTTAGACTCTACAGACGGAGGGAAAACAACTCAGGATTGATTCACCTCAAAGCCAAAAGAAACAGCAATCTTACCAAATTTACCTCAACATTTATTTTTACAAAAGAGAAAATTCACTCAGTGTGACTTCTAGTGAAGACCTTTTAAAAGCTCATGCACACAAAAGAATATACAAAGAGTTCATGACTGTATTTCCATGAAAGGATCTTTAACTTTCTTCTGCATTCAGATGACTGGATGTGCCTCCCGTGTGTCCAGCGCTGTGGAATAACACACGGGTTGTTTCTCACACAGGCTTCAGAGAGGGACATACATGCCTGACTGCACACAAACAGTAGCATGTTTCACAAACGCTGTTATTGTTGCTTTAATCTAAAAATGCAGAAAGTTTCCTGTAAGGGGTAGGGTTAGGTGTAGGGTTGGTGTAGGGCAATAGAAAATACGGTTTGTATACAGTACAGTATAAAAACCATTACACCTATGGAATGTCCCCACAATTCACAAAAACAAACCTGTCTGTGTGTGTGTGTGTGTGTGTGTGTGTGTGAGTAAGGAAACACTAGGGTTAATCAGACAGGGTTGTTGTGGGTGGAAATGGACGGAGGGATGGATGGAGTGGGGGTGGGGGTTTTAGAGGTCTGGAAACAGTTAAAGCTGGATAACCGGTTGCAAAACCAGGGTGGGAAAGCCAGAGAGGGCAGAAGAACATATCGCAGAGAAGAGGCAGAGGGCAAAAAAAACAGAGGAGAAATCCTTCAAGGGAGTCTTTGGGAAAAGTGTGAAATGTGTAACTCTGGAGAAATGTTCTTAATTCGTAAAAGATGTTTGTTAGGGTGATCTAATCATGGGTATTTTCAGCCCAATGAAATAAAGCAGATAACTTTCAATAGGAAATCATCCTCCTGACACAACACCACAGTTTTGAGATTTTGGTCTATTTTGCTTCCACAGCCTGTCTTCTTTCAGACCTGTTGAAAAAACAACATCCAAATTTTTTTTTTGCAGTGGTTGGGTAGTTTTTGTGTTACCCAGCTCCTGGGTTAAATATAACAACCCAATGTTTGGGTAGTTTTTGTGTTATTCAGCTCCTGGTTCAGACATAACCCAGCGGTTGAGTTATTTATCGTGGGGATTTTGCGTCCTCTTCAGGAGAGAGCAGTTCTAAACGCCATCGAATTGATGCATTTCTTCAGTAAAATACAGGTTCTGTCCTACTGTATATTTACCCAGCCCTTGGGTTAAAAACAACCCAAATTGGGTTGTTTTTAACCCATTGTTTTTTTACAGTGTATGTACTCCACTGGTTAACTGTTAGATCTGATGCACTTTAATGCAGATGCATCATACCGAAAACATTTTCCAACAAGGCAATAAAAAGGAAGCGATAATGTGCTGTTGTGTGTTTTAAAAATGTCATCACTATCTCACAGAAGCAATCAAAATCAAGCATCTCACACAAATCCTGCATCTCTCTCGTGCCTAATATACTGCCAGAGGAAAAGTGTACTTCATAAAGTGCTGCCGGTCCCTCAGGAGCGACGTATAGAAGAGAACAAGGAGCCTCGAGTGCCGTTATAGTTGCTTTAGGAGGAGTTTGTCCAGTGTATATTCCCAGAAAAGACTTGGAAACTTTCTCATGATTTCCAATACACAGGGGACGCGCTCAGAGACCCCATGTTTATACATATAAGAAAACACTGTAAAAATAGGCCACAATGTACTGTGTTATTATGATAATTTCCTGTATTGATTTTTCACAGGTGTTGTATCTGTATTTTGAGTTATGCGTAGCATTTTGTTGAGTGAAATATTCTGGCAGAAAATTACCATTACCTTTTGTGTTTTTCCACCATTTTTTTTCTTACAGTGTAAAGCCACACTTCAGTACACTCATTCAAACATTTACTGTTTTAGTACTGTTTCATATACTCACTCTGACGTCATTCCAAATAATGCAACTTTCAGTCTTCCATGCAAATTGGCATCAGCAAGAATGACATGCTCCTTTTTCATTAAATAAAGCAAGTTATATACAGGTTATATTTCCATTAAATAAAGCAAGTTATATACAGGTTTGGAACAACATGATTGTGAGTAAATTAACTAACCATTGAAATGCATAAAGGATGCATAAAACCAATGTGAAGAAATAAAATAAAAATAAAAATAAATATAATATTAAAATAAAATAAAATAAAATAAAATATTTAATCAAATAAAATAACCAGCACACTTCTCCTCAAGACACATGATTTGAGGAATCATTTGGGTCTGGAATACAAAATAATAATAATAAATAAATAAATAAAACAAAATATTTATTTTATTTTAAAATTAAATTTACGTAAATTTAAAGGTAAATCAAATAAAATAACCAACAAACGTATCCTCAAAAAGACACATGATTTGATTAATTATTCATGTCTGGAGCACAAACACTGCAGAATGATTGTGAGTAAATGAACCAACCATTTAAATACCTAAGAAATCAAATCAAAAAAATTTAATTAAATTAAAATTAAATTTTTTTTAAATACACAAATTATAAAAGTTAATAATAATAATAATAATACAGAACTTTCTCAGCAAAACACATGATTTGAGGAGCACAAATGCTGCAGGACGTCAGTCATGTGAATAAACGATACGAACCATTTACACCATCTGAAGATGCATAAAACCACTATGAAAGAATCAAACAGTCAGTGCAAATAAAAACATGCAATTTTTAAAATGAGAAACATCAGGTCTGTGAGCTGCAGCTAGTTTCCTAGTTTTATAATGTGCTGCATCCTCTGAAAGCTGTCATGAGTCCAAGAGCACCAGGGAAACAAAACATAATGTCTGAAAAAAGGCGAGATGAATACGGTGGAATATTTCACTGCCAAGCAGCCCAGCAGCTCTGAATTAAACCCTTTCAGAGACAGAGACTGGCTAAAAACACAGAAAAAGAAGAATATGAAAGAACAGTAGCTCTGAAGAAAAGAGAGAGGCCAGAATGAGGCTGAAGTCCATGTCAGAACAGGCTCTTTTTCATGCTAACGTCTCTCTGGGCTTTAGAAAAGCTTCACTGCGGACAACCTGCGCCAGAGAGAGCAGGAGTCGTCAGATCGCTGAAAGGAACCAATGCAAAAACAATTATACTACTGAATACAAGGAAAATCGAATGCTGTCATTGCCATCGACCCACGTCTGGCACTGTTGACTTCAACATTAGCAGACACAGCAGCAAAAACAGCATCAAAAAGGCCGAAATCATTTATGAATACAGCTGGGAACACACCATACCTGAGGGCGTTGCTATGCAGTTGTTAAGGTGTTTTAAACATTTAAGAGTGCTGCTATGTATTTTCAAGGTGTCCTGGGTGTTGCCAGGGCGCTGCTATACAGTTGCTAAGGCACTTAAGCATTTTAGAGTGTTGCTGTGTGGTTTTTAAGGTGCAGTGGGTGGTTGCCAAGGCATTGCTATACAGTTGCTAAGGCGTTTTAAGCATTTAAGAATGTTGCAGTGTGGTTTTTAAGGTGTTCTGGGTGGTTGCCAGGGCGTTCTAAGTATTTTAGAGTGTTGCAGTGTGGTTTTTAAGGTGTTCTGGGTGGTTGCCAGGGCGTTCTAAGTATTTTAGAGTGTTGCAGTGTGGTTTTCAAGATGTTCTTGGTGGTTGCCAGGGTGTTGCAATCCAGTTGCTAAGATGTTTTAAAAATTTTAGAGTTCTGCTATGTTTTTTCAAGGTGACCTGGGTGGGTGCCAGGACATTGCTATGCCAATGCTAAGGCATTCTAAACATTTAAGAGTATAGTTATGCGGCTTATAAGGTGTTCTGATAGGTTGCCAGGGCGTGCAATGCATGTTCTAAGCATTTTAG